CCAAGTTTCCATGGTAACTCGTATATAACGTTACCAAGGCTGCCGTTGTCGACACGAAAGTCTTTGGAGTTATTGATATCTTTTAAGGCAAGCAGCAAGGATGGATTGCTGCTGTATGGAGGGAGACAGTCTGGGATGAAAGATTTTCTTGCTGTTGGKCTTWCGAATGGTTTTGTTGAATTGAGGTAATAGCTCTCTCATTTCCGATTTATTCATTTAGTTACATCCACAATAAGGAGTATGAAAGTGTAGAATATAGTGCATTTCATTGGAAAAGAGTTTTTGCCAGGAAAATAAAARTTTCCAAACTGAAAAATATAAGCCGCTTTTGACGATAAAAACGATATATAAGCCTTTTTTGACCTTTATAAACGTTTGCCAGGAACAAAAATATTTTAAAGGAGAAAGAACGACACATTTGTGAGAWTATCAACAATGTAGCTCAAAATGCCTTTTCCTGGGGAAAAAATCGTACAAGAACAGTTATTTAKAAAACAGACCCCTGTCGCTGCCTCGCACTATAGAAACTGCAGTAGTCTATGTGATGTACAACGCGGTAAAACTTTCCTTTTTTATGCAGATTCAGTAACGGGGCCGACGAAGTAACACTTACCACACCAAACAGTGTCACTCTGGGTCATTGGCATCAAGTTGTGATATTTCGTGACCAGCGTGACGGTTACATCACTCTTGACTACGTTCAGCTTGTCAGCGGCTCCTCCAAAAAGAATAAGAGGCTGTTGAACTTGAATACGCCTCTTTACCTCGGTGGTCTGCCTCGATATGATGTAACTAATGTCCCGTATGCTCATGGTTTCCATGGATGCGTSAAAGAACTGGTTATCGACAACAAGAAAGTCGATCTCAGACTTCCTGGAGGAKCTGCTAAACGCAGTAAAAATATTGGTAAATACTACTACTTGGTTTATCATTACAAAAGGTTTTTRAASCTTAAAAATATCCAGTTGAAATTGCATTATTAATTCATGTGACATTCAATGTCCCACATGGTTCAACCAAYATTCATGACATAAATAAGAGRCGGTGTATGATAGGTAGCCTGATTTTCAGACGTGCCTTGGTCCGACGCTAACGCTTTCCTCCCCAAACGTTTAGTGTGACGATTGGTCAAAAATCAAACAATRTATAAAGAACATGGTTGGATTCAATGTCCATCAGACTGAGTAAAACGTTAGCGTCGGACCCAGGCCCGTCTGAAAATCAGCTCTATAGGCCATAAGGACCTAAATTAACATGGACACGGACTTAGGTTTATGACGGAATTTCCTTTTTTTAGAGGAATGTCAGAACTCAATTGAATGTCAATGTGAGAACGGCGGTRTCTGTCAAGTAACACGACAAGGTGAACCTCTATGCGCATGTCCGTTAGGTACCGCTGGTCAGTACTGCCAACATGGTAAGTGGAGTGTTCACTGGATGATTGTAATCATTCCATTGTTTCGGTTGGCTGGCTTTTTTTACTGGAATTGTTGTATATTAAATTCCCTTTTTTTTTTCTTCCGAAGAGGTCACTCTAAAAATGCCATCATTTAATGGACGATCGCACCTCTCCTACCCCTCYTTGGGAGATGCTGCTTCCAAGTCTTTCACAATCAGCCTAACGCTAAAGCCGTCGTATGAAACAGGACTCATCCTCTTGAATRCTGACAGAGCTAAAGAACAAGGTGACTTTTTCTCCTTGTCGATAAGGGADGGGAGGGTAGAGTTCCTGTTTGATTGTGGATCTGGGCCAGCAATCATCAGGTGAGCAGAAACAATAGTTTASCCGATTATATTTCTATATTTGGYTGTAATATTCCTTATTTGGCATTATTACCATATATAGTGTCATGTGAGTTATGTAATTCAACAGCAAGCTTGCGGAAATGCTCGGAGAGACCCCAACTCACGATTATTTCTTTGTAAAATCCTTGAAACTCTTTCAAATCGATTCAGTCGACATATTTTGATCATTCCAGAGTCATGTGAAACACATAAGTACGGAAATAAGTAAGCCTGTGGTTTGAACTGATCAAAATAGTTCACCTCATGGCGGGGACCTATGAGATGGGGCAAGGAAAGTCTTGTTTAGAGCGCTGAAACGTAACTGGGTTCTTATCATATTTTCATTTTTTTCCTCGGTTTGCAAAGGAGCAAAGAACCAATCAGCATTGACTACTGGCACACCATAACAATATGGAGAAGCGGAAGTAAAGGAAGTCTAAAAGTAGATGATGGGATGCCTGTGTTCGGAGAATCACTTGGTCACCTTCGTCATATAAGTCTTCGTCGGAATTTTTTTATTGGTGGGATAGAAGACTACAAGTATCAACCCTATCTGGTGGATATGAAGTCGGGCTTTGTTGGCTGTATTCAAAAGGTAATTGTCGTCATTTATGGATGGGGTTTGGATTGATTTGAAAATGGATGGATGGGAAAATGGATGGATGGGAAAATGGATGGGAAATGGATGGATGGGAAATGGATGGATGGGAAATGGATGGATGGGGAAATGGATGGATGGGAAATGGATGGATTGGAAAATGGATGGATGGGAAATGGATGGGAAATGGATGGATGGGAAAATGGATGCATGGATGAAACTCAATAAAAACATGAACATGTACATCTTATTTCAGGTGACAGTCAACTCTCTCCCACTAGATCTCGCCACGCCACTTTCTGGTTGGAACATCAAGAACTGTGACCATGCGTGYRTCACGCAATCTATATGTCAAAATGGCGGAAAGTGTCACGCYRAGATGAATGACTTTCAATGTCAGTGTCCTATTGGCTACACGGGAACATATTGCAGCTTACGTAAGTAACGCACTACATACTTKGTGGTCACGCAATCATGATTTATATCACGCAATCATTTACGTAATTTCAGGAATGGATATAAAGATGCCSTTATTCCGAGAACAATCTTACCTTACCTACYCWTCCCTCGGTGYTAAAGCATACGACGCCTTTACTCTAACAGTAGTACTAAGACCTATGAAAAGCACAGGTTTGGTACTGTACAATGGGAGAGCTAGCGGTAGTTACGGCGATTACGTATCTCTTGCGTTGCGTAACGGGTTTGTGGAGTTTGTATTCGACTGCGGTTCAGGGGCAGCAATTYTAAGGTAAATCAGAAGTTAGTAGAAACATTAAATGTGTGCAATGCTTTCCACTATTTACTACAAAATAGTGTTAATTAAACAATAGAAAACAATAGAATTAGCATRATTTAGCAGTATTTAGGGTATTTACGTTGCACAGTTTTAGTGTTTCTACTCTATTAGAGTGAAGTCAATGAACCCGTGAAATACATATTTCACTATTACATGTTATTACTTGATAATTCCATTGTTTTCTTTTGTGTCTATTTGACTATTACAGTTTAAGTATTTACTTTTATTTCACGGGTTCAATGCCTTCACTCTATGCTGTTTACGTTAATTATTTTGATATCGTTAACAAAAATCATTATACATTACTTAATGAAGGTATTTTTGTCCATTTGATATAAGGTCGCCATCTTGAAACTTTTAATATTGTTAAATACAAAAACAAACCATTTTATTAACAATTAATGTTAATTTGGACGCATAATGTTTTCGTTTRWTTGTTCGTTTGCTTGTGACTTTGTATTATGATAAAATAATAAAAAGGAATCATCCCACAATTTTTACTCATCAAGGAGCAAATCGAAGATCCTAGTTGGTCAGTGGCATACCATCACCATCTCAAGAAGCGGTAGAAAAGGAAGACTTAAATTGGATGACGGGAACCCTGTGTTTGGTGAATCACCTGGCTACTTTCGTCACGTGACACTTAAAGAGGATTTGTTTCTTGGTGGAATGAAAGATTTTTCGAAGCAACCGCTTCCCGTTGGCGTTAGAACAGGATTTGCTGGATGCATACAAAAGGTAATGAGACACGAGACACGTTTACAATAAGCATAATTACGCAAATTTCACGTAGAATTTTTGCCTCACGTGTATTTTATGAAGCACTCCGCCATTTTGATTCTTTATCAAGACCATGATGCATTTCGCCAAAGCACACATGACGTCATAAGAGTAGTAGTCCTTTTGAGTAATGGAGTTTAGTTTCCTTTTAGGTTTCTGTCAACAACAATCTACTTCTTCTCTCATCGCCTCGATCTGGTGTAAATGTTCAAAACTGTGATCACGTGTGTGTCGCGCATTACGTGTGCATGAATGGCGGAACGTGTCACGCCGAGATGGATAATTTCAAATGTCGATGTGCCGAAGGATATGCGGGAATGATGTGCGATAGAGGTATGAACAATTTCAACGTTTTTCGCAAAATAACAAGCCAGTATAGTAGTTAACGGAACTAGGAACTCGGTTAGCCTATGCTCGAAGGGGTTAATGGGAAGAGGACCGTTCCCTTAATACATTGCGCACTGATAAAAAAAGCGAGAGTGGACAGTAGAACATGCATATTTTCAATAATTGTGAATAAATGAATGAAAGAAAAGGACAGAAAGAAGTCTTTCAGGAAAAGAAAATCGCAGTAATTTATTGTTGATTTTTTTTTTTTTTTCAGTGGTCAAAGTAAGCAGTCACTATTTTGATGGGRATTCATTTGTCGCTATTACAAAGAAAAAGATTATGAGAAGGTAAGAATGCTATTGATTGATTAATTGGCTGATTGTTTATTGGCTAGTTGATTGATTGATTGATTGAGTATGAGTGGGAGTGAGTGAGTGGGGTGATGTTTGAGTGAGTGAGATGTTTGTTTTACAAATATTGATATTTTAATAATATTCCAATAAAACAGGATTTCTGGACCAGCAACAGATGTGCGACTTTGGATAAAAACTTTGTCGGAAAATGGACTTCTAATTTTTGTTCATCAGGTAATAAGCATTTGATAAACAATGTAGAAGTTAACATAAAGGTTGGCATAACGCGACGAATTTATACTAGGCAATAGATTGACCCCCAGAAGCGTGATCAGAGAGCTACAATAGTTCTCCATTTGAAAACATGATGCTCGCATTTGGTCTTAACAGTTTTATTGACACTTTTCTTGTTATTTCTCTTCCATCCACGAAAATGTRCCTTATAATAAAATAGAGTTTGTATCGCTAAATTAAATTGTACATGTATATTTCATCAGCCAAAATCTCCATACAAGAATTACTTAATGGTCTTAGTCAATCATGGATTTATCCAAGTTAGGTAAGAAGAATGGCCTATAAGTCAATGACCTACTTTCTCCCACTTTTGCTGAAAGTTTCTTAATTTTGTAACGAATGTGTGATTGAACCTTTTTTCAGATACAAGAAAGGAAATGAAGAAACTATAATCAAATCAAACCATAAAGTTAACGACGATCTTTGGCATGAAATTCACTTTTCAAGGTAGCGTTTTACAATTATTAATAACGGAGCTCCATTACAGAAATATTCTCATAAAGGATTGTGGGCGCGCACCGTGTCCAGCGGGTATCGTTTCGTTCCTAAATCTAAGTGTTACTTTTCTTGTAGAACGCCATCTTTGTGGAGCATTAATGTTGATGATAAGAAAACAGCGAAAAGAGTGAAACAAAAAGAAAATTACGATTTCTATCGCGGCGAAATGTTTATTGGTGAGTAGAAGAAAAAAAATGTTCACGAAGTGTGCCTGCACAGGCAGCCCAGGCTWATTCTAGCCTGCGCAAAAGCGCAAAACCTCAAAGTTCTTCAACAACCTTATATTTTTCTATATTTCGTTTTCTTTCTMTATTATTATAGGAGGATTACCAAGTCACTCAATCGACTGGCCAARCTTCAAGGGACATATAAAACGCCTTGTTATTGGTGGATATAAAATTGACGTCACAGAAGAGTCTATCGACGTGGGAGCGAGGCGGTATCGCACATCAATATAAAATATTCCGTGAAAGAGTTAACAAGCTAAACTCTCACTAAACCACCACGAATAAGTTCGAACTGACTTCTCGACGAGCCGTTACGCCTCTCGCCGGAGCACGCTGGCTCGTTAAGCGGTTGTAGGAAAGAATATGACGATTGCATGATCATAACTTGCAAATAATTCAAAATTTATTCAGTTTCCAAAAATCTTCATTCAAAAATTATTTTTTGCCTTTCTCGCAAAAAATCTCAGCGACAGCGGCATAGCCATATAATATTATAAAATATCAATTTAATTTAAAAAGCAATCAAACAATTCACAATTCGATTTAATTCAAGTATATTTATATTAGAAATTAAAATATATAAGAATATGTTCATGTTAATAATAGTATATAACATCGATAGTTATTTTTCTTGGAGAATTTGTCGATATTCTAATTGATCTTTTATCATTTTATGATAAATTTTGTATTTCTTGTCGTGGTAGCTGAAACAAAATATATGACAATTATATATTGAGAACGCAGTAATAACTGATTATTTTCGCGATATGCTCGAGGTGGTAGATGGGAAGGTTGGCCTTCCCTTGATGCTGAGCGAGCCCGTTAAATCCTCACTAGAAAAGCGAAATTTTGTTTCTTTGACAAGCCATAATTTTAGAGTCATTTTCAACCGTCTGTGAAGTAGGAATTGTACTAATAAATACAATTTCCCAACAATTTAACTTATGACATGCGACAAACTAATCAGGCAAACACGGTTTTGATTTTGCCTTTTGGTAGCCTAATACACCCTGATAGTTACTATTAAACACTGACTAGTAGTAATTGTTTCACAGACGGAAAATGACTCTATCAATCAATTTGAATCTAAAACCTACTTTTTAACTTTGCTGTCAGGTGTCACTATCTGACCAATAGAATTCATTGTTTTCATGGCATCCTATAACATAATAGTCATGTATCAGGCAATCGGTGTCGCTTGTGGGATTTCTGTTGTGATTAAGGCACAAAGGGAGGGCAGTATAGTAGCATTCCCTGTCCATTCGTGATCAAAACACGGATATCGATTTGTTATTGATTAGTACTTGACGAACCTGTACAGTGTCAAAGTCACCACTCGCGCATGCTCCAAGTATGGCAGCACCAATCAGGCCTGGTTCACTTTCTCTTGGTAAAACGCACGGCATTCCTAATAAGGTAGAGAAATAGCGCATATAATTTAGCCATATAACAAATACATTCAAATACACAACTGAATGGAGTAAAGACGCCAATGGATCTTTGAAAAAAAAATCATAGTCAAAAATTATTTATGGATTCTTGCATTTCAATCACATGACCAAATCGCTCTCTCGAACAAAACTACTGCCGCCACGTTTGATGAATAAACAAGCGAAGTCAATGAATATGCCATGTTGTTATCTTCATTCAACATGGCGGCTTTGAAGGACAGAAACGAAATCCTGCATCAAATCCAGTTTGCGTCATATTTTATTTAGCCAATCAAAGTTAGAGCTTGCCTGTGACGTCAGCATGTGTCTGGACAAAGAGCGGGTTTTTCGTGAGACCACCGCACAGAAACAACGTGTTGACATGGTGACCGGAATCATTCATGCAGTCAATGATGTGACGTGTACCATACTGTAAAAAAAACAACTGATAGTGATAATATTATAACAGGAGATTGGGTAACACGGCGTCTACTCCCGCTCATCCACTTATAAATGATGTCTAGCGAGCTTCATCTAGAAGATAAAATAATAGATTTTGGGTTTCTTGGAAGTTAGAATCTATTATTTTGTCCCTATTGCAGCCAAGTGGAGCTTATTTCACGGGAACTGCAAAAGTCTCAGTTTTAAAAACACGTCCCAGTACCAATTTATTAACGAATTTGATAAGTGTGTTTGTGATGATAGTGCTGATTATGATATTCCGATATGGTGATGAATCCAGTGACAATCTTCGTACTGCCACAGGCAGCCCATCCCTTACATGCTGCATTTTGAATGATCTACTTACTGCTAGCGCCTGTAATGTAGAAACGTATAAAACTGCTAAATTGTTGAGATCGGACGAGAGCGTTAGACCACAAACCTACAAAAATCATAATAGGAAAATGAGATGGGGGAAAAGATAGGATCGCTTTGGACAAAAGCTCTCACCATGCCCGTCAGATTAGGATCAGCGATTGGTGAACGGTTACCATGGAAATCAGGCAGTACATGATAGTCACGTGACAGGAAGGCAGTGTTGTCCAACCTGTATTCTTCACAGACCTTTCGCACAAGATCATTTACCTCATCGTACAGGGAAGTTTTTCTGTAGAAAACATTAAAAACGCTTTAAAAATTCGCCGTATCATCAAAATAATACATTATATGCAAAATTTGACAGTAATCTTTCTTTTGGACGTTAAATACTACAAAAATTATCTTTGGTGGCTTACTTTTCCTCGACCATTTGTTTCAGCTTCTGGAAGGCGGGATGTGTCTCAATCACGTGATCAATCTAATGTTATATTTTTATAGAGTTAGCCTTGGTTTAAAGTCACATGTTATAATTTACAATGCTACAGGGGTCCCCAGGGGTAATATTCTCGTCCTGGAAGAAGAAATTTCAATACTTCCTTCAAATCAGATCAATAAACGATTGACGAAATACTAGCCTAAGGTACAAAGGAAAGGGGAGGGGAAGGCAGACAAAATTACCAGTTTTCCAGTTGCACTTTGACCGCCTTCATTGAGCCAAAGGCCAGGCACCATGGCAGAGTAATATGGCCCCCAGACCCCTTTCACAAACACGGGTTTTNTCACGTGACCAGTGTTTCATACCTTGTCACAGACTAGTTTGTATCCCGCGAGGCGCGCGATCGTGACGTAATATACCACAGGTAACCCACCGCCCGCGCCGATTCGATAACATAATATAAAAGCGTGCGCATTCATTCTTTTCTTTCTCTCAAGCAATAGTTGGGTAGCCTATGGGCAGTATAGTAGCATTCCCTGTCCATTCGTGATAAACGCGGATATCGATTTGTTATTGATTAGTACTTGACGAACCTGTACAGTGGCAAAGTCACCACTCGCGCATGCTCCAAGTATGGCAGCACCAATCAGGCCTGGTTCACTTTCTCGTGGTAAAACGCACGGCATTCCTAATAAGGTAGAGAAATAGCGCATGTAATACTCAAGTTTCGAGATCTTATTTGTTCAGCCTTAACCTCGAAAGCATGTAATATATTCTTTTATTCATCAGAGATCCTATTGTATGCAAACACTCTGTGTACAAAGAAGACAATAACAATTTATGCTTGATTGAAGCTAAGCTTACACAAAAGAGAATTCGAAACTAGAGTATTTAGCCATATAACAAATACGAAATGATTAAGTTAAGACATTCAACCGAATGGAGTAAAGACGCCAATGAATTTCATAGTTAAAAATCACTCGTGGAGTCTTGCTTTTCAACGACATGACCAAATCGCTCTCCGCGAGAAGGAACTATAAACTACTGCCGCCATGTTGGATGAATAAGGAAGCGAAATCAATGAATAATACCATTCATCCAACATGGCGGCTATGACAACAGAAGCAAAACCTGCATCATCTCCAGTTTGCGTCATACTTTATTTGACCAATCAAAATTAGAGCTCACCTGTGACGTCAGCATGTGTCTGGACAAAGAGCGGGTTTTTCGTGAGACCTCCACACAGAAACAACGTGTTGACATGGTGACCGGCATCATTCATGCAGTCAATGATGTGACGTGTACCATACTGTAAAAAAACAACTGATAGTGATAACATTATAACAGGAGATTGGGTAACACGGCGTCTACTCCCGCTCATCAACTTATAAATGATGTCTAGGGAGCTTCATCTAGAAGATAAAATAATAGATTTTGGGTTTCTTGGAAGTTAGAATCTATTATTTTGTCCCTATTGCAGCCAAGTGGAGCTTCTTTCACGGGAACTGCAAAAGTCTCAGTTTAAACACGTTTCAATACCAATTAATTAACGAATTTGATAAGTGTGTTTGTGATGACAGTGCTGATTATGATATTCCGATATGGTGAAGAATCCAGTGACAATCTTCGTACTGCCACAGGCAGCCCATCCCTTACATGCTGCATTTTGAATGATCTACTTACTGCTAGTGCCTGTAATGTAGAAACGTATAAAATTGCTAAATTGTTGAGATCGGACGAGAGCGTTAGACCACAAACCTACAAAAATCATAATAGGAAAATGAGATGGGGAAAAGATAGGATCGCTTTGGACAAAAGCTCTCACCATGCCCGTCAGATTAGGATCAGCGATTGGTGAACGGTTACCATGGAAATCAGGCAGTACATGATAGTCACGTGACAGGAAGGCAGCGTTGTCCAACCTGTATTCTTCACAGACCTTTCGCACAAGATCATTTACCTCATCGTACAGGGAAGTTTTTCTGTAGAAAACATTAAAAACGCTTTAAAAATTCGCCGTATCATCAAAATAATACATTATATGCAAAATTTGACAGTAATCTTTCTTTTGGACGTTAAATACTACAAAAATTATCTTTGGTGGCTTACTTTTCCTCGACCATTTGTTTCAGCTTCTGGAAGGCGGGATGTGTCTCAATCACGTGATCAATCTAATGTTATATTTTTATAGAGTTAGCCTTGGTTTAAAGTCACATGTTATAATTTACAATGCTACAGGGGTCCCCAGGGGTAATATTCTCGTCCTGGAAGAAGAAATTTCAATACTTCCNCAACTCCTACAATTAATGATACTTTGTGGTTCAATGATATCATCCTTGGCAGGAAACACTAAATTTAGCCTATTTGGAATCCCTGTGCAGTCCTCAACACAGGAAGCCCAAGGGTAGTAACGATGACAGCAATCTAGTAAGAAGTTTTGAAAATATTAAAGATACTTTGGTATTATTCGTTTTACACGTTGGACAAATGCCGTATGTAAACAATAACATAAGCGCGCAAAGCATCACCCTGGGACGGCTCCTTTAAAGGAAGACAGTATTTATGTACCTATTCCTCCTGCGTGGGCATCAATAAGAGAGCATCCAACAGGACATCCCTCCCATAATCCCATCTGCTCAGCTGCTTCTTTTGTTARCCCATTACCAATTGGACTTCCTGGCGAACATGTCTTTGTACCTGGCAAGCAAAACACTAAAGCAATTAATAAGGTATCATGGACACGATCTGATATTGAAATACCTCTATATTGGCTGGGCAGACAGTTTTAATGACAATCATAAGTGACACAGGGTATTGTAAAGATTATTACTAATCTCTGCTAGAGTGAGACATTTGTTAGGTGCTATTTAACACAGATTGATACCTAGCTTGGAATACATATTTTCTGGTAATTCTTGTAAACCTATTTGCYGCCAGTAGGAATCATCCCAGCCACATTTAGACCCTACAATTACAACAACACAATAATCAAATATAAAGTTTGCTAACAAACTACTTTGACTAGTAAAAATTTATACCCAACAAATTTCATGGCTAATTCTACCATATCCTTTACCTCTACCTTTCTAAAATTCATTCCTGGACTGTCAGTTTTTTTCCAGGAATTTTAGTAAGTTTAGTAGTACCTGGTGGTYGCTGTGTCTCGTGCCCCAAGTAGTTAAATTTACAAACCAAAGAGCAGGTTGACCTGGAAGAGTCCATAGTGGCTTTGAATGTTAAGTATTCAGGAAGATCAAAGAACACAGATGCTAAGTCCCAATTGGCTGGTAAGTTTTCCTTAATCCATAACAGTTTTGGTGCCTGCATCTCTGGAGATAGGACACCTCCAACATACTTTAGGACTTTATGTTTTGTGCTATTGATTCTTTCTGCCTAGAAAAGTTGTTTGAATGAATGAAAATAAATAGAATAGATAAAAAGGGAACTGGATATGGTCTACATTTTACCAAGTCTTGAATAGGGTAGGAATTTCACGATTTTTCTGTCTTGAATAGTGTTAGAGTTACAAGTTAGAGTTTAGAGTTACCAGTTAGAGTTTAGAGTTACCAGTTAGAGTTTAGACTTATCAGTGGAACATCCCTGTTTAAGTCTGGATCAAGCACTCTCTCTTGCAAACATTTTCTCTTTTTTTAAGTTTATCTAGCAACCAATGTCTTCAAATTCAGGGGCTACGCATACCTGCTTCGCTGCTCTATGGTCAAGCCACATTATAATATTTCTGTTTGGATTGTTAGTTCGACTGAGGGACACAGGCTGACCATCTGAGTTTAAAGCAACTAATGAGCACGTTGCATCAAATCCAACTCCATGTATCGTGAGCTTGTTGGGGACATTTGAGGTAACTTCCTGTTAATAATGAAAACAAGATAAGAAAAAATGAGAAAAAGAGAGAGAAATGTAGGAAATCAATATAACCTGAACAGGGAGGAGAATTGAACTTATGAAGATAGATTTTGAATTTGAAGGCAAGGGGTTTATAAATAAGTAATTTATATTGGAATGCTTTAAAATGGTCCAAATGGTGCATTTTCACTCGCTATATTAGTTTTTATAAAATTTTTATATAACGCGCGATATATAACGCGCGCTCTGCAGATTGGCTGACGACCGTGTTTATATCAGAGGACAGAGACACGGCTTACCGGCAAAATTGTATTTTCGCTCGAAAAATTTTATAAAAGAAATATAAAACGGCCGYTTKTGTCTCTGTCYTCTKATATAAACACGGTGGGAGTTGAAAAACACTCGAGAAGCAAGAGAAACACTCGCTACGCTCGTGTTCCTAAGCTTGCTTCTCTCGTGTTTTTCGAACTCCCACCGTGTTTATATCARAGGACAGAGACACGCGCGCCGTTTTATATTTCTTAAATATAACAAGAATTGTAAAATTTGTGCAAAATCCTTGGTCTTCGATTGTTTAATCAGTGCGATCTTGAAATATTTCTTTGTAGGTTTTCATGGATACGAATGCACTCGATACAAATACCTTAACAACTTCGCAAAGTTTCTCCCAAACATTATCTGATGACTGTTCATAAAAGTTCCCGTCATCATTCCATATTTCTATTGGTCGGCTACTATTTTTAACGACTACACCTTCCGCTGTCACTAAGCCAGCACGAACGCTTGCTGTTCCGACATCAACTCCAATGTAATACGAGCTCATTGCCGATTTTTGAGAAGTATTCAATGCACTCTGTACGTCGCCATGTTTGTTATGGCTGACAATTTAACACAGGGAGCCCATGACGAAATTTATTTACTCAAACTGCATCGAGTATTTTCGAAAATTTAATTTTGTTTCATGATAAAAGCTCGTTGTATTTTCCTATAATGTAATTCATTAACAGTTATATTTACTGCAAAATGAATTGATGAGTAAAATAGGATTTCTTGACCACAATATTAATATATTTTTTTACCCCTACCCCCACTCCCCCTCCCCCCTCCACTCCCCCAGGGTCAAAAGCGCTCCGCTGCACTACGCAGCTCGATTCGCGGCGAAGAACAGAGATATTTTACACAGAGAATGCACAGAGCAACCTCTGGAACCAGGGTAGATTAAATGCGACAATGGACTTTGATACTGTAACTAAAGTCGCTATTTATGTCATACACGCGCTCTCACCAGGCCCTAACATGCATTTTCAGTACTGCTCATTATCAACTTTCAAGTGTACTTGCGACGCATTAAGAGTRTCTTGTTTTCAAGAGATAAGTATTCTATGTACTTTTGTTTGCCTCGTTCCCTGCTAAAGAGATCAAAACTTCCTGTGTTAACGATGGGGGTAGAGCCGAAGGTACTGTACTGTTCGGGTTTTTACATCATATAAAATGCATATAATTCCAACCTAAAGACCAAATGCTAAGTAAGATAATATAGTTCACTAAGCTTCGTGAACTTCATTTCGACAACCTCTTATGCAAAAACAGTTCATTTAAGAATGAACATATTTAGTTATGACCCTTTCATCGCAAGTTTATTATACTTGATGAAGCAAATTCGGCTCGCAGGAATTTAATTTTGGTAGGCAATAGTAATATATGTAYATACCTGCTGACCGTGTCGGATGATGCTCTCATGTTTCATCAAAGAAACGGATTTGTGGCTCTAAGGGTTTTTTTGTCTTCTTGGGCTGATTCGTTTAATATATCGCGCGGATGACAACTTAAGCCTCAACTTAAGCCTGTGGCTTGAATGTACTTATTTCATTGTTTTGGTTGTCTTTGGTAACAATTAATCGATGAAATCAAGGTCCCTTGTCTTTATTGTTTACTAAATTAATATTTGTGTCGTCATATACATGTTACAGTGACGTTTAATGACTCATCTGTCTCATCTGTCTTCGGGTTTTTTTTTTTCGCGAACGGAACGCATTCTTTTGCACAACGATTGATTGTCATCCTTGGGCCCAGCGSAATAGAATCTTTGTAAGACCGCTGTCGTTTAGTTTAGTTTACATAACCATGGTTATGTACTTCTGGTTTAGAGTATTAAAAACTGGAGACGAGGAAGTGTTTGGARATCGCGMTGAAAATCACATTCACTGGGCATGTACTTGCGATATTTCCGTTCAGTTTTTTGTTCAAAACCTTTCTTTACCTTTTTCTTGGGGGAGCAAGGATGGCCGAGCTGTTAAAACGCTGGTCTATCACCGCTGTGGTCCTGGTTCGATTCCCAGTCCGGGAACTATATGTGATTTGAGTTTGTAGGCTGGTTCTCTTCCTTGCTCCGAGTGTTTTTAGGTCCGCTGGTTTTCCTCCCTCCGTCAAAACCTACTGTGAGAGTCTCAATGGGGTTAACCGTGAGCCGTGAAACCGGGCTAAAAAATTAGCCGTGAATCGTAAAAATGAGAAAAATTAGCCGTGAAACGGCTGAAAAATTAGCCGTGAGTCGTGGAAATGTGAAAAAAATTAGCCGTGAGGCGTGAAAAAGCCAAATTTTTAGCCTCTACTGTGAGGAGTGTCGTGTAGTAAAATAATGAATGTTGAGGTAATGAGTATGAGTGAACATATAGAGGGCCACAAGTTTACTAGTCTAGAGACTATTACGTGCTACCCTCTCAAAATAAAATAGTTTTTTTACCACCGGTCACAGTGTCTGTCGGGATTCCTGTGGTGACAAATCCCTTCCCACCTCACTCCCACACAAGATTTTTTATGCTTGTCTTGCCGAATCTTGCCTCATCTCATCTTTGAGATGAAAGTTTCGCAAAAAATACTGTATCGGAAGCTCCATTTTACTTTTATTGAAAATCATAATGGTTTATGGAGGTGAGAAAGGAGAAGAAGGAGTTGTGGTAGGTGAATTTTATGACATTCGACGTATAATATTTTAGCTTCCTTAAGCTTATTGAATATTTCGCGAAACTCCCACGTTACTTGAGATATACAACGGATACCAACTAGAATAGCGTTTATTACAAATTGTTAACTTGTCTTTTTTGGTGATAAGTTACATCTACTGAAACATTTGTTTGATTTAAAGTTTTAACTACGTTTACGTACCGTGACTTCGCCGTCGTTGACGTGACAAATAACTTCTTAAGTTATGCTTAAGCTTAAGTTTAAAACAATTTTCGAAAATAAGATAACAACCTTTCCTGCATTAAAACACAGCCCTTGCATCTGTAATACCCAAATATTTAATACAGGAATTAAGATCTTTGTCGTAAAATGTTCGAAAGAGGGATATTTGTTTGAAGTACAATCTAAATGTCCCGGTTCTCTGAAGTCGCTTTGAAGTGTTTTTGTTTTTCTCTCACAGATGAATGATTTAACAATGTCATACCTTAATCMACAGGTAGGATTTTCAAAGCTTGACTCGAATGACAAGGACATGCATGTACATCACGATTCAACGAATAACGTTTTAGGAGTTTCATACGATGGCAGTGCAAGATGGAAGCGGAAGACAATGCATGCCCGAATAGTAATTGCTTTTCTCACTCTGGCACTAACAGCAGTTATTGTTGTGCTCATCTTAACACTGGAACTGCAATTGAATTGCCATAATGCTGGGTCAAATTCAACTAGGAAAAACTCCTTAAAAGACTCTGTCAAATTTTTGCTCTTCTCTGACTATCATTTTGATAATTACTATGATAAAAACATCAATGATAAGCCTACAAGCTGTCGTAGACTTGGAAATTTTTCTAATGCAAGCTATAAAGCTCCTTATGGCAGGATTGGCTGCGACTCGCCTGGGACTCTCATTGACAACATGTTGGATACAATAAAAGAACATGAAGGTGCCAGCTTTGTCTTGATGACAGGTAAGAGCCGGTTCACACTGTTACGTAAGCAGAAGCATAAGAAGTGTATTTTGTATGTGTGAACCAGGGAAACAGAAACAGAGACAGAAGCAGATGGAAATAAAAACTTTTTCATTTTCTTCTGCTTCTGTTTCTGCTCATGTTGAAAGATTATGAGTGTGAACCGGGACATCATAAGCAGAAAAACATGCTTCTGTCAAGTGTGAACAAACTTCTGCTTCTGTTTCTGCTTATGTTGAAAGATTATGAGTGTGAACCGGGACATCATAAGCAGAAGAACATGCTTCTGTCAAGTGTGAACAAACTTCTGCTTCTGTTTCTGCTTATGTCATAGTATAAAACATGAATGTCTTCAGAAGCTGTGTTTATTAAATGTATAAAAACTGTATTTATTTGTCTTAACAACCTACTACACTTAAAGTTCAAGGATACAGAAAAAGGCATATTGATACAGCTAGCAGACTATCATGTAGCTATATTGTTTCATTGGCCAAAGATTTCTCAGTAACATTCATCTCTCATACCATAGGCAGCTCTAAACCACTGCTTGTAAAACCTGTATTTTTATGAATTATTATTATTTTTTATTTTTACTTAGAAATATGCAACCATGGGCTTTAATCTTGTTAGATTTGCCAGCTAKTRCCCTTACGAAGATGGGGATTCGGCAGAGACAAACTAGAGAAAATCCGCATCTACTAAGAGCATGCACTAGCAAATCTAACCATATAACAGGGCCATATAACAGGGGCGGATCCAGCTGGTGCGTGCAGARGTGCRYACCCCATCCTGAGAGCCCTGCACCCCTCCCTGRGGAAAATCCTGGATCAGCCCCTGTATAAACATGCCCTTGCATATTTCTTCTCCCGATTAAATATATCACCTGTGCCCTTACTGTACAAGGAACACCATAGTGTCATAGTAACTTGGGCTTCCTTTGTAATTGTCGACACAGGCAACCCAAGAACAGAGAAAAGCATATTTGTACATTTCCACATAATGGTACATTTCCAGTAACCTTGTTGCTTACTTTTACATTTTCAGGTGATTTTTCTGCACATAAAATGGACCGTTCATATTTTGAYAACAAGACAACTACTGCTGAACGCACCCTCAAAAATATTGTAATATCTGCCAAAAAAACTAAAACAGCATTTCCTAAAATTCCTATATTCCCAATGCTYGGTAATAATGACCTTCCTGGACACTATGTTTTACCAGTAAATAATGATTGGTATACCAAAACACTGGCATCATTTGCACCACTTATTCTGTGTAATGGATGTCCAGATAATGTGCCCAAACCAACTGATCTGGAAACTCTTAAGAAGACTTTCCTGGACGGTGGCTACTATGCTGTCAATCTTACAAACACAAGTAAGTTACGTGATTTTCTTGAGGTGTGCTGTTTACTATTTGCAGGGGGTTTCTAGCCATACACCACCATAAACCCCTTTCGAATGTCCTAAAGGTGCACTGTTGACTTAACTTTTTGATATATTCAGCAAATTCTCAGTTCAGTGCTTTGTTCCTGGGCAKTGAACCTGTTTATGGACTTTTTCCTTAAGCGTTGAATGATAGGAAAGACAGACCTAACCTCAAACCCATCGACRAGACTAATTTCATTATATTAATGCTTTAATATTGTCTCTTAAGATGAACGAATGATGCTACTGGTGCTGAACTCTCTCTACTGGAATCCATATGCGAGTGAGCTCTCACATGGGAACCCTGTGGTACAGGCAGTTGCGCGGAGACAGATGGCATGGCTCGAGGACCAGTTGGAGAAAGCCACGCAATTGAGACAAAGGGTTTTTATATCTAGCCATATTCCTCCAGGGTAGGCTTTGTTTATTTTTTGTTATTTTTTACCAAGGCAATTTTTCTCATTTGAGTTAGAAAACGGAAACGACTGGATGGAAAGATAGGTGATATTAAAGAAACAATTGATCGTTTTCAACTATTCCCAAGAGATTCAAAATGTAAAAGACCGGCGGTCATGTTGGAGGAACGAACAATAGAAACTCATGAAAAAATCTTTGTTGAAGCTCCTCCAAGATGGCCACCGTGATGTACCTTGAAAACGAAGAATTGAGAAATGGGAATACGAGTGGTAGCTTGAATGGGTCAAGGAATCGTTAAGACTTTGTGTAAACAGAGCTGAGAGACTACCCCCCCAGATTCAGCACTTTTATCATCCAGCCGAAGTGGATGCGAGGGAAATTCAGTGGATTCCCCCAGAGTCTTTCCATCGTCACCAGACCCCTGACATTAAACCGTGAAGTCACTGTGAGGAGGATGAGAGAGAATAAAGAGAAGGTAGTGAGAGATCCGAGTAGATGAGAGAATAGTAATTCAAAAGACCAACGTTTTTGACAGATAGCACTGTAACATCCTGTGTTTGATCTCTAGAATCGATCCTTATAACGGAGCGAATTTCTGGMTGGGGAACTACACTGAAATGTATGTGAATCTAGTGGCTGGCAAATACAGGGACGTCATTGCAGGTCAATTTTACGCCCATATACATAAAGATGATTTCCATCTACAAGTACAAGAAACCCAGACATCTAATTCTGTGGAGAAACAGTCGCCCACTAATAAGTCCTTTGCAATACTGGTGCCGTCAGTATCACCCATCTATGCAAACAACCCTTCATTCCGTGTTGGATWCATCGACGTTGAAAAACAGGCTTTACTGGATTATGACCAGTTTTACTTGAATATCGTCATGGCAACAGGTGATCATGTGATATTGATGTTTAGTGCCTTTGTTTATATTAGTTTAACTAATGCCGACGATCCTTAATCTCTTTCTTTTCTCTTTTCTTCTTCCTTTCTTATCGTTTTCCTTTCATACTTTTGTCTTCCCATTTTTGCCTCCGTTCTTTGTTTTCGGTCTATCCTCCATTCTTTTGTCTTCTTTTTTCTCACCTAGTTTCATCTTTTCCTTTTTCTCTTCTTTTCTGCTTTCCCTTCCTTCTTCTTCCATCCTTTCGTCATTTTCCTTTAATACTTTTGGTTTTCCCTTCCTTGCCTCCCTTCTTTGTTTTCGTTCTTTCCTCCATTCTTTTGTTTTCTTATTTCTTCTTTCTCTCCTTTTTTCCGCTTTCCCTTCCTCCCTWCMCTCCCTTCCTTTCGTTCTTCGTTCTTCTTTCCTGCCTTCCTTTCCCTCTCATTTCATTCTTGTTACTCTAGCTTTGTATGTGAAACGCGACCTTCTCAAAATTAGAATGATAAGTAATGATGACAGAATATAACTGAATGAATGTGTTTTAACGCGTCCATCGACTCTTAAATTTCCCAACAGAATTTAACTCAACAAAATGGCAGTTCGCGTACCGGTTCAGCGACCGTTATCCTTCCTCTAATCCTTACATTGATGCAGAAAGAATCTACCAACTAAACCAAGGACTGATCAACGCGACGAGCGATAGAACMTGGTTGAGTTACGTCTTTGCGCGCACACTTTTTTACAATCCTGGTGCGTACTCACGGTTTTCKCTATACTGCGCAATGAGATACGTATTTGACTCTGATTACAAGAAGTGTATCCTGAAATACAACGTCCCAGGTGGCTGACGCATTGATACGTAAATTATATAAATAGTATTGATCGGTTACGTAAATAAGAGATTTGAGACTTACGTGTATTACAAGACATCGATTCTGAAGTTCGGTCGTTAAGTTAGACGTAAACTTTGATCATCAGAAATAAACTGCCAACCCCTCTAGCTTTTTTAATAGCACCTTTATAAGGCCGGCTCCAGATTTTGCAAAGAAAGTTAAATAGTTTTATAAAATAAAGTGCGATATTGTTTGGTATATTTTTTTATGCGTCAGAATGACGTTACGGAGATTGCTCAAATTGGTTCGAAATTGCATTTCTTACGTAAATTATTATACAGTCTACTAACTCACATTAAGTAGTGTAAATCTTACCATCCGTCCGTAAAGAAGAAGGAGAACAGCTTAAAGGCACACGTGCAACCAAGATCCTTTGCGTTCGTTTCTTTTGTTATACAAATGATCTCTTGTTGAAAGGTGTTTTCTGATTGGTTCAAAATCAAAGATGGCGAATTTTCGTATATGAGAAAATCGCGCAAAGGTACGTTATTGAATACATGTGGGCCTTTAAAAGAAGAAAGAACTCCACACATGTCCAGGACTGGCCTAGGGTGTCCATTGTCCTTTGGGTACTGTCTCATGGTCCTTTGGGATCCCCTGGAATTTCACTGCCTGTCACCTGTCCCTTGCTATACTTCACGTCTTCTTGTCCCCAAGGGATTCCCTTGCTATATACCCTCTTGCATAAACGGTGTCTTTCTTTCCCATCCCCTCGTCCCCAAGGGATCCCTAGGACAATCCTCAACAGTCCCTTGTCCCTAGCTATACCCTCTAGTATAAAGGGTGTCTTTCCCATCCCCTTGTCCCCAAGGGATCCCTAGGACAATCCTCAACAGTCCCTTGTCCCTAGCTATACCCTCTAGTATAAAGGGTGTCTTTCCCATCCCCATCCCCTTATGCACACAGGGATCCATCACAAGGGATCCCTAGGACAATCCTCAACAGTCCCTTGTCCCTAGCTATACCCTCTAGTATAAAGGGTGTCTTTCCCATCCCCATCCCCTTATGCACACAGGGATCCATCATGAAAAATACTGTTGCTCATAGGCCTTTTGCAGCTGGGGGTCACGTGACCACACCTACCTTAAATCAATCAGTTATCAAAAAATGATGTTCAGAAATGGACAGAGCAGGTTTATGTTGGTAAAATGGCAAAGTCTCAACTCTAAATACTTCAAATATGACAGCAAATGTAGAATATTGATTTTTCTAAAGAAACGTTTGGGAAAATAGAACTGGAGAGCAAGCCTTGCAACCAGTATTTCAAGGCGAATTCAAAGCGAACAACCGCTGCTTTAGTGTAAGCGCTATTGTACTTACAACATTTTTCATTTTTTGTGTGTTTTGTAAGGTATTTGCGTGAGAGAATCTGCTGTCAAATAAAACAGTTGTTATGAACTTTGAATTCGAAAATAAAGTATTGCATATTTTAAGGTAAATAAATGTAACGTAATGTAACATGTACTATTTTCCATTCTTTGAAKTCAACGGAACCCACTTCATACCGATTTCATTGTTACAGTCTGGTTGACAAACTTCCCTTACCCCACCCCTATCAGGCTATGCTGTCATTGGCTTATTCACACGCAACAAAAAGCTGTATACCARTCAATCACAAACCTCGGGTGTCGAAAGCCTTTGTCATAGTGTGTACCAAGGTCGTGTATTCTACAAGTAGATTTAGTATCAAACGAGGTAAGAACTATTATGTATAATGAATCTATGTGCAATTTAATGTAATATTCCGATATTTAWTACCGATTTTAAGGCGGATTAGTTAACGACAATGGTATATATCATAGCCCACTTYTACTACTGAGGGCCATCCCAGTACCGAGTTAGTCAAGCAAGCCAAGGAGAATTTCAATACAACAAATCATAAATTAGACGCTGTTCCTACCAATTCGATCTAAATTCTTAAAATCACTCTAATAAATAACTTGTTGAAACTCTCAAGAAAAGGCTCTGTTTATTATAATCGTCAGCGTATCGGTTTACGACATTAGCATTTTGGTCGTACTTCTATACATTACTTTTATGGTTCGAGCTCTATGATACAAAAGATCAACTATGTATTGAAAACTGAGTTGCAACCTCGATAATTGGTACATACTAGTATCAATCATTATGGAATTTGGCCGGTTGCTGTATTTCACAATTTGGGTCATGCAGAGTTCAAAAGCATTTTAGCTATTTTTGACGTCGTTTATAATACATGCATAATACACGACGTATTTTAAAGTAGCTTAGGAATATTCTTATTGAATATAACAAGAAGCAATAATATGTTCTTTTGTTACAGACAAGACATTTTTCTTTAATTCAAGTGAATGCGGAATCCCCTGATATTTGCTATTTCAACTCCTGCAAGGCTATCAGACCTCGTTTCCATTCCTTTGTTTCTATTATAAATTCACTTCCTSCTTATGTCGTAAGCATCTATCAGTAGCAAACATTTAGAAGTTGTTAATTTGGGCTCCGGAAGCTCGAATTCCTGATTAAAAGTCCAGATTCCATAAGCCATTGAGCCAATAGTATGTCCGATTCCGGGGTAGCCTGCGTAGCTGGCCCTTTTAAGGGGCCTGGTTTAAGTAGCCTGCGTAGCGGCCCTAAGGGGATTGGGGAGGGCCGGCCGAGCGGGGAGTGGGGAGGCTCGGCCGGCCCTCCCCAATCCCCTTAGGGCCGCTACGCAGGCTAGGTTTAAGGGGCCAGCTACGCAGGCTAATTCCGGGGCGGAATTAGCTAACTCCTACTTGTTAATCAATGACAACGTTTGAATGTTCGAGTATTGTAGACCACCTCWACGTCGATAAATGTCATAACTCGACTGATGACAAAAGATTGTTATTGATCTTATTTTAACTTCTATGCTGATGACAGTTTCGATTACTTGACATAAGCTGATTGACGTTACTGAAAAAGGAAAAACAAAATGATGATAATGAAAGAATGAACTTCTCGGACGCCAAATGCAAAATGATATTACGAAATGTTTAACAATAATGCTCTATATAATTCTATACTGCTCTGAATTCTGGTTATCCCCACAACATTTTCAAGCAGATATAATTTTGGAAGTTGAGAAAACTTATATTAATAGTGAATAAAAACAAAAGATATATAAACACTTTAGAGTCAAAGTGTTTGTTTAGATTTGTAAAGCCACATAATATCTTTTGTCTTTATTCACTATATAAGTTTTCTCAACTTCCAAAATTAAATCTGCTTGAAAATGTTGTCGGGATGACAACGAAACGTTGCAATTTATTGTCGCTCGTTTTTATACTACAATGTTTCTCTAAAGTTCTACTAATCAAAATTCTGGTTAAATGAAAATATTCCCATCCTCTATCATGAAGGAAGTTGGTGTATTTTCGTCGTTTTTCTCTTTTTTTCCAGTCATCCTCGGGAACCCTGACGTACGTTCTCTTCTGTCGGTATTATTTCTGGGAGTGAGGAACAACCGACAGGAGATTACGCCTAGGGTTCCCGAGGATGTTTCCAGCATGACGTCTTAGTGCAAAAGTTCTTGCTTTCCGCACTGAGTGATATCGCGAACAGCAACCGTATACTTCAGAATCAGAACATTCCACAAGTTTGTTTTTTTTTACAGCTCACGCCTGCGGTTGTTTCGTTATGTTAGCTCGCAAAAATAGGGAACGTGTAGCGACGCCATTTTGTGCAGCAAAGGATGATGGTAGTTGTAGTCCTCGCACTTTTTTATGTCCGCTAAAACAGTCCTCGTAACCAGTTTTTAATTTTTCTAAGCGAAAATACAGAAGTATTTGGGAACTTTTCTAAAAAGAAAATGTATAAAACCGACTTTTAAGGAGATATTTTAGGGGCTATGAAAAGTACAACTAACATCATGCTTTGGCTCACAAAATGGCGTCGCTACACATTGCCTATTGAACTATCAATCAATCAATCAATCAATTTATTCAGAATTATTTACAATAGTTGTGCTGATTATGTTACTAAATTATTTTATCATAAAACTGAATGGGTATCTAAAGAAAAGCATGCTTGCTTAAAGATTTTAGACCCCTTTTAATTATTGTCTTTTGTATTAAATTTTGTCTATGACTCGTAGCTAGGCAGATCGTTATTGTACCCAAGTAAGTGATCCTTTGATTTCGTATACCAACCAACTAGCTATACTATATATATATATAATATTAATATATACTATGCATCAAAGGATTTGACTACGTAAACACATCCATGTCCAGTACATTTGATCTGGTCTCGCGACCTGAAGCTGGCGAAACAACTCGACATACTTCCAAGAAAGCAATATGCGTGTGCATTATAGTGKTATGCATACTAGTTGCTGCATGTGTAGCGTTGACTGTGGTCCTTATTCTTGGCCTYCACTGTTCTAAACAAACATCAACAACACCTTCAACAAAGTCTAAAACATCTTTAGCTGACTCAGTGAAGTTTCTATGGATAACTGATCTTCATCTTGATACGTTTTACAACGATGAAGTTACTGCCAAACCAACACTGTGCAGAAAGCTGGGAAGTTATGGAAATGCAAGCTATAAAGCTAGCTATGGCCGAATTGGATGTGATTCGCCTGTTGCTTTGATTGACAGCATGTTCGCAAGTGCTTCTGGGACTGTTGGTGATGCGGGATTTGTTCTTATAACAGGTGAAGAATGCACTTAACTTTTATTGGTAAGTTGCTCAGTTGTCATTTCTTAACATCTTTCTGGATTACAGGCGATCTCTCAGCTCACGACGTAAGCGAACCGTACTTCAATAACGCAACCAAACCCTCTGAACGAACTTTGAACAATATMTTCACGGTGGTCAACAAAACCAGGGCAGCGTTTCCCAGGATTCCTGCGTTCCCAATGCTTGGTAACAATGACCTTCCTGGACATTACCAATTACCAGTAAATAATGACTGGTATACCAAAACACTGGCATCATTTGCACCACTTATTCTGTGTGATGGATGTCCAGATAATGTGCCCAAACCAACTGATCTGGAAACTCTTAAGAAGACTTTCCTGGACRGTGGCTACTATCGTGTTAATTTACCAAAGACAGGTTAGATTTTTACATAAATGTTACTAATGTTTCGTGTTGTTMGGGTTTGATTCAAWGTTTTCCTTKCGGCCAGTACGTRCTAAATAGCACATTAATACATCTGGCTGTGCCTTWCGCACCAAATAYCACCGTAATCATTGACATTAAAGAGCTGGGAGACCATTCCAACAAGTRCATCCCTGTGCGAGAAACCAATATAACCTTATATCTATTTGAAGATCCCGGTTTGTGTGAYCAACTTCGGTACATCCATCGATTTTCGCCTCCGAATTATTGTTCTTCTTGTTTAGTAAACGCAGTGCTAGTCCTAAATGAGCGGTACAAATGTACAGACAAAATCTCCAGAACAAAACTACCACTCATTTAGTATGTTAGTTCATCGAAGACTTTGAGCGGGAGCCGATCGTAAAAAAAGTCGGTTCTCGGGGAAGTGAAACACAAGAGATGACAACAATTATGCAAAAAAATAAAGTAACTAAATAAATAAAAAAAGAAGATAAACAATAGATAAAATAGAAAT